CCCCAAAACCCCAAAACCCCAAAACCCCAAAACCCCAAAACCCCTGATTTTAAGTTTAAATTTGAAAAATTAAAACCCGATTTTAAAATGTCAGCAAGCAAGCCAGAAGGCCCAGATCGCCAGAATAGGGCAGAGGGTCATCCCAATCCTGTTCAGACTAACACAGCTTATACTGAAGACCAGAGATACTTTAGAGAAGGCCAAGATAGCCTCAAACCTGTTGTCCAGCAAATTAACAAGCATTGGTATGATGAATACCCTGTTGGTGACAGAAGAAAACAGCTTGAAGATAGTCTTAAATCCAGAAAAGGGGTATCCCAAAGTACTGAGCCTAGGGAAAACCAAAGTCTGTACCAGAAGAAAGAGTATCCGAGCTCTAATAAGGACCAAAAGTACAGCCAGCCACCTATCTATTCAGATTATGAGCCTATATTTATCAGCAAGGATGGTCTAAAGAGCCATGAAGAATTTAACCCTGCTCTCTATAAAAAGACCAACACTAATTCTTCACAAGAAAACCTTCAGAGATCTGTAGAAAGAGATTACCATCGTAGTACAACTTATGCACAACCTCAGAGGATAGAAAGTATCGAAAGGAAGGACTTTTATAGCTTTGGAGACTCCAAGCAGCAAAGCAAGTCATATAACAGGAGCAATGGCACGCACAAACGTGTCTTTGTAGAGTATCCTGAGAGACAAGAGCACCAAGAGCACAAAGATCAGCAAAAAGATATCAACAACTACAGAAGGAGTGCTTCTCATGGCTTTGAGAGGAACTTCAGAGCAGCTCCACCAAGTTATACACATCCTGATCCCCAAGAAGCTGAGTACTTGAGCGTAGAGCTCAATTTTAACAAAAAGAGTGTGAACTATAACATGAATGAAATAGAGCTCCCTGCATACTGCAAGGCACATCCTGATGGAAAACTGCTCTATATACTAACAGCAGGCCACCAAGAAAGCGAACTTGGATGCGCCCACTGCGCTATGAACTCTAACAAGTCTGAAGCAGGCTACGAGATCAGGGAAGTCAAAGAGAAGCTGGCAGAATACATCACTAGTGCTGATAAGCTCCTCAAAAGCGGATCTACTACAAATCTGAATGAGTGTCAGAGCTCTTCTGAAGAAATTACAACTATCAAAGACAGAGAAATAGCTAGAGTCAGAAATTACTACGACCAAGTGATGGAAGCCTTAACCCAAGAAAGAGATAAACACATTGCTGAGATAGAACACTTAAGTCAGCAAAATCTGCATGCTTTGAATGGCAAGAATAATTCGAAGAAGCCCAAAGTTGACTTCAAATTGAATAACTTTTGCATCGAGCTTTCTAAGGTTGTTGAGGGAGTCGACGATACAGGAATTCATATCAAAGAGCTTCTGAAGATCAACCAGGATTACAAAGATGTTGTGTCCCAAAAGCTCAAAAGTCAAAGAAAAAGAGCGAAAGTGGGCAATCCAGAACTGATAAAATTCGAGTTCCAGCCTGCAAAACAAGAGGTGCTGAAATCCTTTGCTGAGAGGATCGGGACTGTACTAGTCTATAATTCCTCCACAAGTTGTTTTGGTGGTGCTCCTGATACAAATTACAAGCCAGGAGGGATTCCATACTCAAGAAAAGAAGAAAGAACTTCTCACTTTGGCATCGATAATCATGAAGGCTCAAATAAATATGCCTATAATGGTGAACAGAGGTATACTGAATCTGAAAATGGACCTTTCAAGTCTGTGTCTCCTACCAGAGACCAGAATTATAAACTTCAAAATGAGAAATATTCAAATTATCCCTCTGGTAGTCAACATTCTAGCAGCATGAATGGACATTACAGTCAGAAGTACGCTGGCCAATTTGATAAGAATAAGGAAGCCGAGAATATGCCAAAGGGCGACTACACACCAATAATGCCCTATAACAGAGAAAATAAAGAATACCAGAGAGATGCAGAGCAGCCCAACCACTATAAAGGTGGATCTCACTACGATGACTACAAGAAAGGTATTTATGATAAAGCTGCTTCACAGAAGCCAGTTTCAGGCTACCCTCCCAGTGCTGATCCTAGGCTAGATCCTTACCCTGACAGAGATGTTGATGACATTAAGAAGGAGTATGCCTTTAACGAGCCTATCAGACAAGGTACAGGGCACCTATACGAAAGCTATAAGAAGCAGGTTAGTCAAGTATATTTTACCTCTCTAGGCTAAAGCTGAAATTAGTGTAAAAGAAGGAAATAAAGCATACCTCAAGGAAGACCAAAAGTCAACTCCTAAAAAGCAAGAAAATCCAGAAGGATCTTCCAAAAAATCAAAGAAGATAAAGCAAAAGACTAAGGCTGAGAAGGAGAAAGTGCTCAAGACCATCAAGCTCAAGACTAAACAGGGCTAACAACTAAGCAATAAGAGGTTTTCAAAGAATTCTGTTCTTCATCATTTAATTATTAGAGCCTAATTAGCCAAACAAAAAGATGCCATTATATACATAAAGCGATATTCAGTATGAAGGCTACTTTAGGTTCCTCTCTATAGCCATGACTGTATGTCTACAGCCTTGATAAGACCTTTGGGTGTGACTATAACGAATATCTGTGCAGAATTAGAACCCTTAACTAACCAAGTAGGCTCAGGGAATGGTGACTGCTCCACTTTTTATAATACTAAAGACTTATGAATCTGTGACTCCAAAAGATTTCAGTCGAAGAATGATTTGATATCCTAGCTTAGAATTTGTTATTATGAGAAAAATCAATTTTAGGGTACTGGTTCTCCATCATACTATCATGCCCTCTTGGAGGTCCCATGTTAAGCCTGTTCATTCCTCCACCTATTTCAGTACTAGTTTGAAAATTAAATGAAGAGAATCTGGAAGGGGTCATCTCTTTTTGCCTAGGAAAGAAAGGGAGGAAAGAAGGCTCTTCGATCTTATTGTCCATGCCTTTAGCATCTTCTTCTGAATTATCACTATGGTAGAGGAAGTTGTCATTGATCGTTCTGTTTTCAAAGAGTTGGAAGCCCTGATCCCTATCTCTCCCGAAGCTAGGCTGGGGCTTCGTCATTTCAGACATAAAAAGTTGGTTAGTCTGAGACCTAGACTCTGGGATGCTCTCCCTCATAGTTTGACTAGAGTGTCCTATTCTGTTATAATTTGAGCTGAAAGAATTGGTAAACCCAAAAGTTGGCATTTGCATCATCCCAGTTTCACTAGAGTTGAGACTAGTATTATTAAATCCTGATAAACCTTCTTCTTTCCTAGCCATTTCACCAGGATATAGAGGCTCTGAATTAAGCCGAGAATTGGATTTGTATTTTTGTTTCTTATAGCCTTCGTGTTTAGTTCGGTGTAGACATAATTTGCCTCGTTGCCTAAACCCTTGAGTTCAGCCATCAATCCCACAGATATAAGGCAAAGCCTGGGAATGAATATGCTCATGCTCTCTAAGGTTATGAGCCAAAGAGAACTTCTTGCCGCAAATCTTGCACTCGTGCTTATTTAGTTTTGAAATGCTTGGCTTTGATATGCCTGGTCAAAGAATATTTAGCTTTAAACATATTCTCTCATCCTTTGAAATCACATATGAAGACTTTGTCTGAAGCTGACATATTATATTATTATTTGATGAATAATATGGGGTTTTGGGGTTTTGGGGTTTTGGGGTTTTGGGG